GGAGCTGGAGCTGGAGACGAGACCTTCCCTGCCCAGGAGAGGGGGGCAGCAGGTCCTGACCCTCCCCAAACTGCTCCACATCCCAGAGCAGACCCTTAAAAACCTCCCTAAGGTGTGAAATCCGCGTTAAGAGTGGCGGGAATCAGTGACCATCCGACATTCCTTTTGGTTTTAGGTTTGTGAGAACAGCTTTTCCTGCAGAAGGGAGGGGTGTGTGTGTGTGGGGGGGATTTACCATCATTAAATAGTGAAAAAAAAATATATATCTTTGTCAGCTCATTAAAAAAATGTGCCCAATTTCAGGAAGAGGGGTTTTTAGACCCCACCTGGAGAGATTTGGAGGGTGAGGGGGAGAAGACATAAACAGCCCCAGGGACGTTCAGGTGAGTTGCTCCTTAAACATTCCCTGGGGAATTCTGCCCCCCTTGGCCCCCCAGACCATTCTGCATGGAGTTCCCATTGTCTGATTACTCAGGAGATGAGGATTAATCCCAGGTTTCCTACCAAAAAGGGACTTTTTTGGCCTTTTTTTTTCTTTTTTCTTTTTTTTTTTCTTTTTTTTGGTGGTGGTTTCTTCCTGTTCCTGAAGGGAGGAGGGAAAAGCCAAAGCCATTCCCTCAGCCCTTCCCTTCCCGGGCCTCGTCCCTGGGACAGGTTCTCACCTCCACAGGGAAAAAAAAGGAGGAAAAGGAGGAAAATCGTCCCGCGTCCCAGTTCTGCCATTATTTCATAGGCTTCAAAAAAACTCCAAAAATTAAAAAAAAAAAAAAAAATCCTTTCAACTAACCTAAACTGAAAAGAAACATTCAGGAAAAACCAAAAATCCCAGAAAATGGAGGTGTTCTCCTGGCTTGGAAGGCTTTCCAAGGCACTGTGGAGGAATAATCCACTAATCCTGCCATCCCACTGGGAATGAGGCTGGAATGGTGCAGAGTTCCCAAGGGATCACAGTCCTTTGGGGGCTTTTGGTGGCTTTTGTCCACAGTGGATCTCGTTACCAGGGTGGGCTGGTAAAAGTCCAGTGGGATTTTTTCTCTTTGAGAAATAAAAAATTTAAACGGGAAAAAGATTAAAAAAAATAAGGAGAAAACAAAAAAATGGGGGGGGGGGCAAATAAAAAAATGGGGGGGAATAAAAATAGGGGAAAATATAAAAAATAAAGAGAGAAATGTAAAATGGGGGAAATAAATTAAAAAAAAAAGTAGGGGAAATTAGGAAATAGGGGGAAAATAAAAAAAGAGAAAAATAAAAAATAGGGGATAAAAATAAAAAATAGGGAACAGAAATAAAAAATAGGGAACAAAAATAAAAAATAAAAATAGAGAATTAAAAAATAGGGAATAAAAATTAAAAAATAAGAAATAAAAAATAAAAAATAAAAAAGGGAATAAAAATAAAAAATAGGGAATAAAAATTTAAAAATTCAAAAATAGGGAATAAAAAAATAGGGAATAAAAATTTAAAAATTCAAAAATAGGGAATAAAAAAATAGAGAATAAAAATTAAAAATAGGGAACTAAAA